GTTTGTTCTCTGTAGTTAAGAGTCTGCTTTTTGGTTTATCTCTTTATTTTTTCCTCTGTTCATTTGTTTTATTCCTTAAATTCCACATATGAATGGAATCATATGGTATCTGTCTTTCTCTTACTTATTTTACTTACTATTATACTCTGTGGGTCTATCCATGTTGTTGGAAATGGAAAGATATCATTCTTTTTAATGGTTCAATAATAATCCACTGTGCATATATGTATACTTCTTTATCCATTCATCTGTTGATGGACACTTAGGATGCTTCCTTATATAACTTGGCTAAAAACATGCTGTAGCAAACATAGGGGTGCATATATCCTTTTGGATTAGTGTTTTCATATTCTTTAGGTAAATACCCAGTAGTGCAATTGCTCGAACAGATGATATTTATATTTTTAATTTTTCTTTTAAAATGTATTTTTTGCTTTCCCTTTTTTAATGCTTATTTATTTTTAAAAGAGAGAGACAGAGGTCAAGTGGGGGAGGGTCAGAGAGAGAGGGAGACACAGAATCCGAAGCAGCTCCAGGCTCTGAGCTGTCAGCACAGAACCCGACACAGAGATCATGACCTAAGCCAAAGTCAGATGCTTAACCGACTGAGCCACTCAGGTGCCCCTCTTCTACTGCTTTTGAGATTTTCTCTTTATCTTGTATTTCAGCATTTTGACTGATGTGCACTTCTGTGTGGATTCTTTTATATTTATTATGCTGCATTTCTTGGATCTGTAATTTATGTTTCACCCAATTCAGGAAATACTTCTAGCTCTTTCTTCCCCCAGTATTTTTTCTGTCTCATTCTTTCCCTTCTCTCCTTTTGGGTGGGAGTGGGAATCCAGACTTTTTTTTTTATGTTTTATTTCTGAGAGAGAGAGAGACAGCATGAGCAGGGGAGGGTCAGAGAGATGGAGATACAGAATCTGAAACCGTCTTCAGGCTCTGAGCTGGCTGTCAGCACAGAGCCCGACGTGGGGCTCAAACCCACAAACTGTGAAATCATGATCTGAGCCGAAGTTGGACACTTAACCCAGTGAGCCACTCAGGTGCCCCGGGAATCCAGATGTTTTGATATTGTTCTATAGATTGCTGAGGCGGGAATCCAGATGTTTTGATATTGTTCTATAGATTGCTGAGGCGCGGGCTCTCTCTCTTTCTTTCTAAGTTTATTTATTTTGAGACAGAGTATGTAGAAGGGGCAGAGAGAGGGAGAAAGAATTCCAAGCAGGCTCTGCACTGGCAGCACAGAACCCAACACAGGGCTCGAACTCATCAACCGTGAGATCATGACCTGAGCTGAAATCAAGAGTTGGGAGCTTGACTGACTAAGCCACCCAGGTGCCCCTCTTTCTTTTTTAAAGGAGCTTTTCTAGGTTTTTTTAGACAACATAATTTTTACCGACCTATTTTCAAGTTTCCTGACATCTCTAATATGCTATCAGGCCCATCTAGTGACTCTTTGACTTCGGTTATAGTATTTCTCAGTTATAGAATTTACATTTGGCTCTATTTTACATAGTTTTTATTTCTCTGTTACATTTCCAGTTTATTATTTTATCATGAGTGTGTTTTTCTTTATGTTCTTGTGCATGGTTAAAATAGATGCTTTTAAATTGTTATCTGCTGAGCCTGGTTAGCTCACTTGGCTGAGTGTGGGACTCTTGATTTTGACATAGGTCTTGACCCTGGATTGTGGGCTCCCAGCATGGAGCCTACTTGGGATCTGCATTTCCTCCACTTCTTCCCCCCACCGTCCCCCCCCTCCTCCCTTCCCCTGCTTGTGTGTGCATGCGAGCTCGCTCTCTAAAATACAAATAATATTTTTTTAAATAAAAGTTTTAAAATTCTTATCTGCTGAATTTTAATATTTGTGCCATCTCAGGGTTGGTTTGTGTGATTTCCCTGTTTCTTCATGTTTTTAGTAACTTTTGGTCATATCCTGGATGTTGTGATGATATAGATGCTCTGGATTCTGTTATGTTCCCCTTAAGAGTGGTCTTTACCTTGTAATTCTCTTAAAGTACACATAACGTGAAGTTTATTATTTTTTGAGAGTGGGTGTGGATTCTTTTATATTTATTGTGCTGCATTTCTTGGATCTGTGTGTGCATGAGCGGGGGAGGGAGAGAGGGAGAGAGAGAATCCCAAGCAGGCTTCACGCCCAGCATGGGGCCCGACTTGGGGCTTAGTCTCATGACTGTGAGATGACCTGAGCTGAAATCGAGTCAGATGCTTAACTGACTGAGCCACCCAGGCGCCCCCATATTAATTATTTTTAGTGTCCAGCTCAGGGGTATTGGGCACATTCAGGGTGCTGTGCAGTCCCCGCCAGCCCATCCCCGGAGTCTGAAACTCTAACACCCATTAAACACCAGCTCCCCGCCTCCCTCCCCCCAGCCCTGGCTCCACCTTCTCGCCTCTGTCTCTGTGATCCGACTGCGCTAGGGACCCCGTGTAAGTGGAATCATACAGTGTTTATCCCTCGTGACTTATTTCACTGAGCACAGTGTCCTCCAGACTCGTCCGTGGGGTGGCGGGTGGCGGGATGTCCCTCCTGTTAAAGGCGGAGGAGCATCCCGTCTTGTGGAGGGACCACGTTTTGTTCATCCATCCACCAGTAGACCCTGGGTTCTTCCATGTTGTGAATAATGCTGCTGTGAACATGGGTGTGCAAACGTTTCCTTGAGAACCTGCTTTCCGTTGTGTGTACATACCCAGAGGTGGGATTGTCCGATCTGGTGGTAGTTCTGGATGTCATTCTGTGGGGACCCGCCGCACTGTTCTCCGCAGCGGCTGCACCAGTGTGCACTCCCACTGAGAGTGCACAGGGTTCCAGTTTCCCCATGTCCTCGCCAGCACTTGTTGTTTTAGGTATTTTGTTGAGAGTAGCCATCCTCCTGGGTGTCAGGTGGCGTCTCATTGTGGTCTTGATCTTAAAAGTGGTGTTTTGGTTTGTTTTTTATCTAGCAGTTGGAATCTTGTTTCAATTACCTTATAAGCTAGGCTGTTTGGACTCTGCTGCATGTATGTGTTTGCCTGGAATTTGGGCGCAGTCTATATGAAGATTTTGGAGCTCCTCTTCCACGGCTCTCGCCTGTTGGAAGTTTTACTTCTCATACAGCTGTTCAGTTGTCCTTAGGCACAAAACTAAAAGCCGGGATGTTCGCCTGGCACTGTTCCTTTCTTCCAGAAGCAGATTCCCATTTATTTTCTTCCTGCTTTTGGTCTCTCTGTGTCTTCAAGTAATTGTTACATATATATATGTAACACGTATATATATATGTACATGTATACATATATAACATAATTTAAAAATGTTTAATGTTTAGTTAATTTTGAGAGACAGAGCACAAGCGGGAGAGGGTCAGAGAGAGAGGGAGACACAGAATCCGAAGCAGGCTCCAGGCTCGGAGCTGTCAGCACAGAGCCCGATGCGGGGCTTGAACTCACAAATTGTGAGATCATGACCTGAGCCGAATTTGAATGCTTAACCGACTGAGCCATCCAGGCACCTCTGTAATTGTTTAAGTAGGCTCCATGCCCAGTGTGGGGCTTGAACTTACCACCCTAAGGTTAAGAGTCACATGCTCTACTGACCGAGCCAACCAGGCACCCCTCTTTTATATTTTTGCCCAGTTGATCTGACATGAGCTAGAATTGTTTGCCTTAAAAAAACAAAACAAAACCGTGTGAATGAAACCACATGCATTCCCACATCTCCTGGCGTTAGAAGGCCATCTAGTGCACGTGAAGCCAACCTGGATCTTAGGCTGTTAAGTTTGCTCTTCTTTCCTGTGTCTCCTGCGAAGCCTGCGTGGAAGCCCCAGACACCACAGGCCCTGGTCAGTGCACTTCACATTTCTCCACCGCAGCACTGTTGGTGTTTTGGGCCAGACGATTCTCTGTCGTAGGGGCTGTCCTGTGCGTGGAAGGGCATTTAGTCAGCTTCTTGCTCCCTCCCAGTAGATGTCGGTAGCAGCTCCCCAGTAGTAATGATCAAAACATGTTTCCCAGACATTTGTCCCCGGGCAGCATGGAGAGTGGCTGCCTTGCACGCGTGGACCTGTCTGGCGCCCTTGCCTCCGTGCTGCCTTCTTGGAGGGTCCCCCCCCCGTGCACCCGTGCTGAGCGTCTTCCCGCCTGTTCCTTGTTCCTAGCGGCCTTTGGGTTTGCGTGCCTTCACTGGGTGTCCCCGGATGGGACTAGCGTTCTGCAACAAAGACCCCTCCGTCACGGGCGGCCCTGGGGTCTTCCTAACACTCGTGGGTCCCCAGTGGCCTGCATGGCACGGCACAAGTACATTGTGGCTCAGCAGTTTGACCTTGCTGGTTAATCTTCAGGAGACAGCTAGATAGAATTTACCACTACCACAGTGCTTCTCGTCACGAACACTTAATTTGGGCCCGGGCAGGGAGGGGGTGGATGACAGATTAGGTGACTGGCCTGAGCATAAAGCAGACCTGACTCGGGGTGTCTTCTCACTTTGTGACTCTGGATGTTTTGCCCCCGCCCATCGTCAGTCTGGAACTGATGACGTGCCAGGCATCAGGAGATCCGGCCTGCGTTGTGCTGAGCAGCACAGTCACCTTGGGCTTGTCGCCGAACCTCTCTGCCTGGGAGCCCCCTCAACCATGCCCGGGCGCACTGTCTTGTATCTCGGCTCTCGCCTCTTCCCCTTTGCGAAGGTCTGTGTCAGCCGCCTGCGGAGCGGCGCTCAGCGCGGTGGGAGCGCCGGACCCGTGTATCTGCAGCCACGCCGCTGGCTTGCCGTGGGGGCACGGCTCGTGTCTGCTGCCTGACGTTGATGTCTCCCCCTTAAAAGTGGTTCCTTTCCTTTCAGCTTTATCATCTTGGGATTCCGTCTCGTTTCTGTGACCTCGGTGATTGTGTAAGCGCCATACTTGGTGTCTGTACAAGTGACGCAAAGCTGGAGAGGTGTCGGCATGCCTCTGTTAGGTTCTAAACGCGGTGTTCCTTTTTGTTTCCTAACCCCACAGTGCTCTAAGAACGGAGCGTCTGGGCTGAATGGAATTTAGCATCAAAAAAGTCCTCTTTCTGTTGAGAAAGTTGTGAAGTGCGTGAAGATGAAGCAGGCACCAGAGGTCCTTGGCAGCCCAAACGGCAAGGCGCAGGGCTGTGAAGTGAACCGCGAGTGCTCTGTGTTCCTCAGCAAAGCCCAGCTCTCTAGCAGCCTCCAGGAGGGCGTCGTGCAGAAGTTCAACGGCCACGACGCACTTCCCTTTATTCCATCCGAGAAGCTGAAGGACCTCACGTCCCGTGTATTTAATGGCGAACCTGGTGCTCATGATGCCAAATTGCGCTTTGAGCCCCAGGAAGTAAAGGCGCTCGGGACGCCGCCCAGCACCACCCCGACCAAAAACGGCTCTCCGGAAATTAAGTTGAAGATCACCAAAACGTACATGAATGGGAAACCTCTCTTTGAATCTTCAATTTGTGGGGACGGTGCTGCCGCCGTGTCCCAGTCAGAAGAGAATGGACAAAAACCAGAAAATAAGGCCAGAAGGAACAGGAAGAGGAGCATAAAATATGACTCCTTGCTGGAGCAGGGTCTTGTTGAAGCAGCACTGGCATCCAGGATCTCGAGTCCTTCGGATAAGAAGGTACTGGTGAGGAGTCGTGGCCAGTGGTGGGGGTGTCGAGGGCAGTGGCCAGGTACTGACCAGGCAGCCTCTGGGCGCAGGGCAGAGGGGAGGAGAGCTCTAGAGCTCGCCCTCTGCACAGGGCTGACCCGGGAGCCTGGGCCTCAATGACGCTGCCTGTCGTAAGCGTTCACGGCAGCCCGCCGAGCCTGTTGTGAGGCCTGGACACTTGACTAAGTGTTTGAGATTAAAATGGCTAAAAAGAGGTAAAACCAGTTCTAAACCCAGGTCTGGCCAGTTCCATAGCCCTTGACCTTCAGGCTGTGCTGTTTTTGTGGCTCTTCGCTCCAGAGCCATTCTTTAGCCTAACGGTGGAGCTGTGTTTGGACCTAGTGTGGGGCTTCTTGACGCCGTCTGAGGTGTGGGAAGCGGAGCCGTGCTGTGCAGAGCGCTCCGGTCCTTCCACGTGGTTCACCGTCCACTTCCTTGCCTCCTCTGCCGGGTGGTCCCGCAGAGGGTCCGCCTCCTTGAGGACTGGGTCTGCGTCTTGTACCTTCGTGCTCTGGGTTCCCAGTGCACTTGAACCTGCAAGCAGGGGTTCACTCCTCAAAGACTGGGTGGAAACCCCTAACTTGTAATGAAGGAGTGTAGTGGTTTATGTCACCGTGTCTTAAAGTGGCATTCAGGATGGCCCACTACTCAAATGAGTCTAAGCCGTTTAAAGCAGGCAAGGAACCTTGGCCTTGGCGGAAGGACTAGGCAGGGTGCCACGGGCTGACCGTGTCTGTCATCTATATGAGGAGGCTGGAAGGCGCCGGGGTCCACTGGTCTTCAGTTGCAGCTCCAGGCCCACTTGCAGGAGGTAGGGGGAGGGAATCTGAAACCAGTTTGGGTTGGTATCATCATCCAGGTTGGAGTATTTAGTTTAAAATTATAGTTGAGGAATTTTATTGACAATTTCCACAAGTAAGAGGGAAAATGTTCAAAATTCCCTTGAAATCGTTAAAATATGTTTAAAAAAGTTTTGAGTGCTCAGGAGCTGTTTGGCTCTTGCTAATTTAATTGCAGTGGTGAGTTTTTTAAAAGATGAATTTCGCGAGCTGGGCTGATGCAGCGTGAAGTGGCCGTGGTTGTGGCGGACTGCGCTCTTTCATGGGGGAGAGGCTGGTGCGGGTTACCCCTCACTCTGCCACTTGGTTTTGTTAAACTTGGGTAAATGCCGGAGTTTTGGCTCTCCATCTTCAGAGTGGGGTGGTAATCCTCCCCATGGTGCTCTCCCGTGGCTTGGAGGACCCGGCAAAGCAAAGCTGGGATGCTGTGGGGTAATCAGAGAGCCGACATTTGGCGGCTCCGTGCCAGCTGACCGCCGTGCACACTGATCTCCGTAACAGACTGTGAGATCTCAGAGCCCTTATCCTTGGTACAGATGAGGAACCCGAAGCCCACACAGGCTCAGCAACTTGCCCGAGTGCATAGAACTCGTAGGAGAAGGCTCAGGAATTCACACTCAGGAGGCCGGGAGCTGCTCCCACTGAAGGGCAGGCCTGAGAGGCAGTGGGGGCGCAGCGGCCCTGGTCAGGCCTCTAGCCTCCTAAGTGACACATGTGGTAGGTGGAGAAACTGAGGCTTAGAGAGCCGTAGGGCTCAGGTACATACGGAGCTGAGACCTGCTGCCAAGCCCTCCTGATGTCCTTACCACTCTGGGTCCTTTTGTGCTCGTGACACACGCGCTCCAGGGAACCGACAGACACCTGGCGGGGGCGGGGACTGGGGGGAAGGGTCAGAGTATGGATTTGAGCTTCCATGAAAATTCTATGACCAGGTGAATAAAGCACCACCCCAAGGAAACAGTCATGTAGGGTCCTGCGTAATGTCAAGTGCCTACTGTGTGCATCAGGCACGGGAGTGCCTACTGTGTGATCCCGGCACTGTGCTGATCCTTTAGGGCAAGAGACCATCTGATGAAGTGATAGCAAGGGAAGCATGCTCCTTTTTTAGGGGTGTGTGTGTGTGTGTGTGTGTGTGTGTGTGTGTGTGTTAACCTCTAGCCTGAGTAATCTTTGGATACAGGCTGTTTAGGGGTACTTAGATGTGTTGGCATGTCTTCTGTTGTTTGTTTTCAGATTGCCGCTAAGAAAGAGTCTTGTCCGAATACTGGCAGAGACAAAGACCACCTGCTGAAATACAGTGTTGGCGACTTGGTGTGGTCCAAAGTGTCCGGTTACCCTTGGTGGCCGTGCATGGTCTCTGCTGACCCGCTCCTTCACAACTATACCAAACTTAAAGGTATTGTGTTTATGCACTGCTTTTCCATCTTTCTCTTTCTGTACTTACTCTTTCTAATCTCTAAACTTTTTTCTTACTTCTCCTTATTCAGCCCTACTGTGGTGGTCCTTTTTTTGTTTTCCTATTTAAGGAAATTGTGCTAAAATACACATAACATAAAATTTACCATCGTAACTATTTTTTAAGTATACAGTTGACAGGTTGCTGGTGTTGCGTGACCGTCCCCACCATCCGCTCAGTCAGCTTGCGGGTCTGGCCCTCTGTGCCCACTGACCACTGACCTGCCCCTTCCGCCCCTGGCGCCCAGGGTTCCAGCGTCCGTCTGCTGTTTGTGGCGTGGCTTGCAGTGCCCTCAGGATTAGTGATGCCCAGCATCTTTGCGTGTGCTTGTTGGCCACTTGTGTCCCTGCAGAAGCGCCTCTTCTAGCCTTTTCCCCACATCTGAATCGGATTTTGTTTTTTTCTTGTTGAATTTACTGTGGTTCATTTTTGCAACTTTAACGTTAGTAATTGATTTGAATGTAACACATTGCCATTTCTTTTTGTTTCCAACTCAGATATATAATTTACCTGACTGAATTAGTGTTAAAGGAGAGTGGTCTTGGCTTTATATTGCTTTTCAAGTTTTATGATAATTTATTATCGTTTAGATGTACAATGATTCCTTATTTCAGCATGATTTTCAGAAATAGCATTTTTAAAACTATTTTTTAATTTTTTAATGTTTATTTTTTGAGCAAAAGAGAGCATGAGCAGGGGAGGAGTACATAGAGGGAGACGGAATCCGAAGCAGGGTCTGAGCTGTCAGCACAGAGCCCGACGCGGGGCTCGAACTCACAGACATGAGATCATGTGCCCTGAGCCGAAGTTGGATGCTTAATACCCACTGAGCCACCCAGGCGCCCCTAAAACTGTTTCTTTTTGAGAGAGAGAGAGTGAGCACAAGTGGAGGAGGTGCAGGAAGATGGGGACAGAGGATCCAGAGTGGGCTCCTTGCTATTAGCACAGTTGACATGGTTCAAACCCACAAACCGTGAGATCATGACTTGAGCTTAAGTCAGACCACTCAACTGACTGAGCCACCCAGGTGCCGCCCCAGAAATCATATTTTATACTAAGTTTGAGTTATAAAGATGTCCCAGTTTACTTTTTAACCCTGTGGGGAGAAAGAAAAATCAGAAATGACCTTCTTTGCATCATGAAACTTGGGAATATAAATTGTTGCACAGAGCAGTTGAAGAGCAGAGTAAGAATATAACATGTTGATATAGGTTAGAGTGGATCCTAACTTAAGTAATAATTGGAGAACTCACAAAACATAACAACTCTTGTGTTTTTGGAGTGAAAAACGAGTTCAAATGGTTTGAGATTCTTCTAGAAAGTTCTTCTAAAGTTTGACTTAAGCTTGAAGAAGGTGCTAGGTGGTGAGCACAGAGTTGGAGCTGAGCAGGGTAGCGCCCGACCAGTCTGTGCGCCCTCTTGCAGTGTGGGTGACTAGGGCCGTGGGCTGGGCCGGGCGGGCTCCCCAGCCTCCTCGCACTGTCGTCTGGTCAGCCTCAGGTGGCCTCTGGGCAGGACACAGGCATGCAGGGACGTGTCCCCCCGTTGTCTGGCTGCTGGCCTGGATGGGGCTTCCCCACCAGCCGCTGGCCTGCCTGGCCAGCCGGGTGCCTGCCTGGCCCATGGAGTCAGGGGGCAACGCACTTGGGGACGGGGAGGTCCACGCTGTGCCTCTGTTTGAGTTGTGCCCGGTGTCCTGTCCCCTGAGGCTGTCGGACTCTGCCTGCTTAGCACGCATGGTGGCGGCTGGCTCGGGCTTCTGCCCCATGGAGCACTGTCGGCATCCTCAGCTCACGGAATTGGGGGGCCTCTTCCACAAGCTTTCAGGGGCCCCAGGATGCACCCTGGAGGCATCTGGACTTGGGGGAGTGTGGCAAGAAGGAGCAGGTGAGACAGAAGCCGGGCGGGCCCTCGAGTGTGTCCATGAGGTGTTGCTGGATCCTTCCCAGCACCCAGCCCATGACCTAGGGGGCCCACGGCTGTCATTAGGCCGCCACCACCAGCTTGGTCTCCCCTCCGGTCTGACCTCAGGTCGTCCTCTCGTGGGTCAGTGGCCACCCCCATGTCAGGCAGGCTTTGGGCCAGGTGTGGGGTCTCCCTGGGGTTCCCCCCACCCCTCTCCCCTCCGTGTGCATGCTCACTCGCTCGCACCCTCTCTCTCTCTCTCTCTCTCCCTCCCCCTCACCACCTGCCCCCTCCCTGGCTTGAGGGGATGCCTGCATTCTCCCCCCCCACGCCCCGCCCCTGCTTGAGGGATGCATGCTTTCTCTCTCTCTCTCTTTCTCTCTCAAAATAAACAAACAAATAAGCCAGTCACACAGCAAACTGCAGTAGAAGTCAGTGTGGCCTTCATGGCTTCAGCATTTCTGGTCTGCCTAGCACATCACAGCAATTTCTTTTTAGTGTCTGGGGATTTCTGCTCTGTGTATATGAAGCTCCTAGCTTGTCTCACCCGTGTAGCCGAAGGAGTCTTTTGAATGTCTCTCTGTCCCAGCTACCGAGATGAATTAACTTTAATTTCATTACGTCTTCCCCCTGATGTAGAGCAAAATAACTCCCGCAGTTTCCAACAGCCTGTCCAGACGATGTGCAGATACAGCACATTTTTATTCATCTCTCACTTCCTCTGTCTTTACTCTCAGGGCCTTCACTCGGCCCAGAACGTTTACTCCTTTACCTACAACATTGGAGCATCTTCTCCCGGTGGGGGCTGGGGAGGTCTGGAGTCTGCCTGCCAGGGTCTGACTTGGTCTAGTAATGAACCACTTAATTTCTTTATGCTCCGTTTCCCTGTGTATGCAAATGGAGGGTAATGATACGAGCCCTGCTCTGGAAAGGTCTCCGTGTGCTGAGTAGTGAGCATTCAGACCTAGGGCTCTTTCCTGAAAACATTCCTGTTTGACCAGTTGTTTTCTCCCTGTATGATCCTGATTTTGGGTCATTTAACTTAAATAATTTTGTGCCATTCTTAGTGCCTCGACGTTCCCAGACTTGGCCCAGCTTTTATAGCAGTGCTGAAGGGTCACACTTGCATTCCATCTTGTCTTTTTTTGTTGAGTGTTTTATTTATCATTTGCTTTTTTTTATTAGAAGAATTTTTTAAACTGTTTATTTGTTTTGAGAGAGGGAGACAGATCGTGAGCAGAGGAAGGTCAGAGAGAGCCACAGAATCTGAAGCAGCTCCAGGCTCTGAGCTGTCAGCACAGAGCCCGACGCGGGGCTCGAGCTCAAGAGCTGCGAGATCGTGACCTGAGCTGAAGTCAGACACTTAACTGACTGAGCCCCCAGCCGCCCCTGCTTACTTTTCTATTTAAAACCCTTCCAAGCATGTGGTGCAAAGTGGGACGGTACGCTGGACACCCTTGCGCTCTCACCTGTGTTTGTGAACACACTGCGGGCGTCCTGCTGCCTCACGCGGACGCATGTCAGCGACAAGGACCGCTTCGTGCCCATCTCAGCACCAGCCGCATGCAGGGAAGCCCTCCAGCAGTGACACGATGGCCCTCGTGTGACGTCCCCAGGGTTTTCCCTCTGCCTGTGTTTTCCCCTCAGTCTGGATCGAACAGGGTGCTTGCACTGCACCCAGCTGTCCAGCCTCCCCTGGTCCCCGCACTCCCGCACGGCGCTCCTTGCGCCCAGCCCCGGCCTTAACGGCGCTGCTGTGTGGTGATCAGACTCAGGAGTCCCGTGCGGGTGTTGAGGGAAGGGGCTTACGTGGGGCCCGTCACCAGGTACCTGCTTCTTGCAGTGTGTTTCTCCAGGAGTTGTTTGGGGACACAGGGGAGGGGGTGCTCGTGATCACAAGCAGATCACCTTGGGAAGACTGGTAACGTGATTTGAGAAGTAGTTAGAAGGAAGAGGGCCTGTGGACGGCCTGCAGACGGCCCGTAGGAGGCTCCCATGACCTCCGAGAATAAACGGGGCCAGAGGAAACCGTGAGGACGCGTGTCTCGGTGGAATTGCTTCGGGAGCTCTCGGTCTGCTGTCCCACTTCCCGGTCGCTGCTGGCCGATGGAGCTCTCTGGTGGAAAGGGGCAGCCCTCCTTTGTCACTGGTTGAGTGCCCTGTGGCCACGCGTGGACACCACGTTCCCCTGCCAGCCCTTCTGCGTGCCTTCCACACTCCTTTATGACCCATCGGCTGAGCAAATGTACCTGCCCATTTTTATCCTGCTTCCTTCTGTGTTTAATTAACTGGCATTTTCCTGTGAAAATGAGCTTCCTCCTAAACATTTAGTTGTGATTCACAGTCCTTACTCTTTAACGCCCAAGTTGTCCCAGGTTTAACTAGCAGGAGTCCCATCAAGTCCCTTTCAGCTGTGTTCTTTTGATGTGTCTCATGAGCCTGGGGGCGGGGGGGGGGCTCCCCTGGGGACAACTGCGAGGGGTTTCAGGCTCATTTACACTTTATCATGTGTCAGCGTCTCCTTGGAGGAAACCTGGGTCCTTTAGAAGCAGGCAGTGTATGGAAGCCCAGATGTGGGCACAGCTAGTGATCACGGCTACGGCAGACCGAGAACTCTGCAGACACGTGTGAGGTAGCTCTCCGGGCAGGACCGAGACCTGGCTCCCAGGGGAACTTTGGGGTCCGTTTACGGTTTCTGAACGCTTGGCATGCAGCAACCCCATGGTAGGAGAGACACGGTGAGTGGTGGGCAAGCTTTGGGGGTTTAGGCACCCTCACTGGGGAAGGACAGGGACCTGAAGAAAGGACGGCTTCTGGCCTGGAGCTGGCTGAGCATGGGGGCCTTGTGAAGTGGACATGTCTTTCCCTGTATGATGCAGCTCCCTCACCCTGCCCCTGCACCCACCCCAGCTTTTCTTCATTTCTTTTTGTGTAGCTGTGCTCCCCCCCCCCCCCCCCACTTATCACTCTTGGATTTATAGCTGTATGTGGGTCTGGGTCTTCGTAATGATTTCAGATTTAAAACCTGATGTACA